TTATGCGTTTGCATAGTCATTCTTATAGTTATTACATATGTTCCATCTTATTCATGAAAACTTCAATGTCTTCTTCAGTATGAACTCATTCAATCTGTAATTTAGTGGTTCTCATACTTCTTGCCTTTTGACTGTATTACACATTTAAATATTATTGAAGAGTATGCTGAATAAGAAAAGTCCAGGCCCAGATGACTTTACTGGTGAATTTTACCAAACGTTCAGAGAAGAGCTGACCTAATTTTATTCAAACTATTCCAGAATTCGAAAAAGGATGGAAAACTTCCTAATACTTTTTATGAAGCAAGCATAACCATCATACCAAAACCAGGCAAGGATATCACTAAAAAAGAAAATTATACACCAGTATCCCTCATGAACATAACATGTAAAAATTCTCAGCAAAATCCTAGCCAGTAAGCTTCCAACAACATATCAAAAAAAAAAAAATAATGCATCATGAACAAGTTGGGATTCATACCAGGGATGCAAGAATGGTTCAATATTAGAAAAACAGTTAACTTAATCCATCATATAATTTTAAAAAAGAAAAAAAAAAAACCACATGATCATATCAATTGATACTGAAAACGCATTTGACAAAACCCAACACCTGTTCTTAATAAAAATTCTCAACAAAGCAGGAATTAAAGGAAATATCCTGAACATTATTAAGAGCAAATATACAAAACCAATAGCCAATATCGTTTTTTTTTCATTAAGGTTTTTATTGTGGATTGAGTGAAAGTTTACAGGGCAGATCATCAGTTTTACATTCAACAAATCATACACCTTATATCATTACAATGGTTATAATCTCCTCCATGTACCATCAGTTAACAGTATTTCTCTCTATCCACTTTAGTTTTAAAAACAAAAAAACATACTCAGGCATATATAATCTCCAAAGGGCACATTCTGCAAATCTGCCTCCTGGCCACCAGCTCTTAGCCCCCCTCTTCCCATGAATTTAGAGTCCTCAGCTGCTCCCCTTCTCCACGCCTTCATCTCTGCCTCCGTCTCTGGCATCTCTGCTTCTCTGGATAAGGTCCTGCATTCTGCTTGTTCTCTTCTCCCTTGATGGTCCTAGGGTCCTCTGTTTTTGGACTGTAAGATTAACCACTACCCTGTTTTTGTTAGGAAATTTCTACCTTTACAATTGTGACAGATGCAATTAGTCATGATAACAATTATTCACTATTTAATCATATGAATCTTATCCCCATCTCTTTTCACCAGACCCATCTACACAAGATGAAATCTATTCGGTGGGAACGTTTTCTTTCCCCCTATATTCTTAAACTAAACTCCCCCTTGAAACCTTGTAAGCCAGTCACTTCATGCCTTTATTGCTCCCTCATTTTAGGTAGCCAGTGTCTAAGTTGCTTGTCCCTATCTACCTTGTGTACAGAGAGGATAGCATTGATACTTGATGTGAAGACTCCTTCCCTCTCTGTTGGTATTTTATAGTAACTACTTCTCTGAGTATAGATCAAGTTCATCAAATGTAGCAATTTACCCTAATTTTCCTCTAGTTGAGTTCTGATTATTGAGCCATTGAGGCTAGGTCAAATGAGTACTCTCTGCAAGTTTGGGTGCTCTTGTGCATCTCCCCTCATTTCATATTAGCTGGATGCTTCACTCTTAGCTCTAGCCCTCTGTGGTTGTGTTCTTGTCCATGGGCTCAAGTGTCCTTAGGTATCACCACACTTTAGACCAACCAGCCCTTCCTCTTCTCTCTCTCATCTCCAGGTCAATGGGAGTCAATGGACTGTGGTTGAACTCAGCCCATTTCTTCATTGCTGCCTTTCCTCCTTTTCCACTCACCAGTAGACCAATGTAGTCACCAGCAAGCTTACATGCTTGTTTGTGTGTTCCCTTTGAGTTTCAGTCTTAGAGGGGAGTTTGTCCTGAAGGCACTAGATTGCTAGCCTTGATGTCTTCCTGGTGAACAGCTTGCTTATTCTTGTAGTAGCCCGTCATGCTGTGACATTTTTGTTTGGGGTTTTTCCTGATGATCTTTATTTGAAGATGTATCTTCTGTCACTGCAGCTGTTCCAGGCTGGTCTGCTTGTCTTTTCTAGTGGGAATGTTCCATCTCTTAAGGCTCTGGATGGGAGGGACTCAGGTTTCCACCTAAGACCCTATACTCTGTGAAGACTTTGCATGAGGCCTATTTCACTGGGCAAGTTCTAGAACCTCTTTTAGGTATTCCAGTCACTTATACGCTGAAGACGGGCTTACAGCTTTCTCTAATCATGTCTCCCAACATTCCTTTCTATCCCATTCAGGTGTCTATTTTACAATAGTAGGTAAGGAATTGATGGAATAAGAATTGAGGTCTTTCAGGAAAGTGAGGCAGCACAGGAGGCACTCACTCATCTCTGCCAGGAAATTTGGAAGACA